TATGCCTCCTGGAGCCCTCAGGACTTCTCTGTACCCTTCCACCCTATGGAGTTCCCGATTCCGAAAAGAGGGACTCACTAAATGCTTCTGTGCTAGTTGGGAAAGACACACAGAATTTAGATTTAACATGATGGGATATTTAAATTAGCTAGCATCCCTGCTTGATGCACATCCACTAGACCGGCAGTATTTAACCCTGCTAATTGGATGGTCCAGGACACATGTTCTTTCTAGGCGGTGACATTTGGTTTGGAAACCACGGTCAATATTAGACAAAGGCTTGCTTCTCTCCCTGGATGTCTTGGCAAAATGCCTAAAACTTAACCCCTGGTTTAGACCACTGAGGTTACAGCCTTGGGGCAGACAGATCTCTCTCCCTGCTAATGAAAACTGAGACCTAAGCAGTATATACAAGAGCAAATCAACATTTGGAGGGGAAGAAAAGTGGCTGTGTAGCAATGAAAAGGAACACAAAAGCCAATGCTATGATGAAGAGCTGTTTGTTCTTGCTAAGAGAACAAGCAAACTAACAATGCTAGCAGAAAACCAGGGAAGGCAGAACACCAGCACAGCTGACGTCACTGTGTACTGACTCACCCCTTCTTTCAAACAATCCAGCAGAATTATCGGCCATAAACTGTTCATACCCTTGGACCTAATAATCCAACTCCTGGAAACCTGTCCTAATGAAATATTCAAAGAAACAGAAAGCCCGTGTGGAGATGTTCGAATCAGCGTTTTTCTTATAAAATGCCGGAACCAATATGAAACGATTATCAGTACAAAATGAATCAGCACATTAGGGTTCCTTAACTCACATACACTGGTAGACACCTGGAGTCCTAGTGACTAGGGAGACTGAGGCAAGAATACTAGAGCCCAAGAGTTCAAGGCAAGCCTTAGCAACTAACAAAGCCCACTTTGGGGGAGGGGACAATGACAGGTGTGGTGGTGCAAACCTGTAATCTCATTCAAGAGGTGAAGGAAGGATGATTAGAAATTCAAGGTCATCCTTGGCTACATAGCAAGTTTGAGGCCAGCCCAGGCCTATCTCAAAACGGAAAAAAAAAAAGGAGGGAGAGGGGGAAGGCTTTAAATAAAAGGGCTAATGAGTATGTGTGGAGTCAAAGCTGGCTATAAAGGTCATTAGATACATTAGATATCACTATGTAGCCAAGGATGACCCTGAATGTCTAATCCCCCTGCCTCCACCTCCTGAGCACCAGAATTATAGGTGTACACCACCATGTCCTGTTTACTAGGGGTTGAGGATGAAACCCAGGGCTTTGTGCATGATAGGTGAGTACCCTACCAACTGAGCTACATGCTCATCTCTTAAAGCCCTTAAAGAAAACAAAAGCAAAAACCTCTGGAGACAAAGACAACAAAGACATACAGAACACCGGACAGGAACAAGCTTCTGAAAACATATTTGTTACAAACAAAGCAATTGATGACTACCGGTACCTTTGTCCAAATCAATTTATACCTAAAATCTCTGCCTCAGAAAAAGTGAATTCAGTTTACAAAACCCTTAAGGGACTAACAAGTGACGTAGGAAAAACAGGAATTGTCCTCAAATAAAAAAAAATTCCAATCCCTCAAGTAGTCCAGCAATTGTGTCTAACAATATCTTCAGTCTTTGGCTCCCCGGGAAGGCCGTCTCTTTCACTAAAGAACTCTTTCTCATTTTTCCACTTAATCCAGAGCACAGTAATCATGGGGCCCATAAATCTAATTGAAATCAAAATGAATAGCATTAAAATGCTTTCTATCAAAATGGTTAGTTGTTTTTACAGGTAGCATACACAAATGTATTTTGTTCATACCGACGTTGCAAAAATGTAATAACTAGAAAAGAAGCCTACAAAATAAATGTGTCAGCTTGTGAAAAAATAAGATCCTACAAAAGAAATATGCCAACCGGAGAGCCAAAGCCCATAAAATACAACAAGGGTTTTTTTTTTTTTTTCCTTTCATATTTTTATGACATTCAGTAGAGCCATGGGAAGTGTGCTGTTATACTCGACAACCTCTGCCACACTTATGGAAGTCAGTCTCACTCAAGTAAAACCTTATGCTTGCTGAGGACCACAGGTTCATATACACCTGCCTTTTGTAAACTAAGAAGCACAATTTAAAATCAAGGCAACCAGGAGCTGGGGGTGTGGCTTTGGTTGTAGAGTACTTGCCCAGCACTAGACAAGCACTAGGGAGTGATAGCACCAGGGAGTGGTGGCTCATGCCTGTAATCCCAGCACTTGGGAGGGAGAGGCAAGATGATCAAGAGTTCAAAGTTAATCCTTGCTTATATAGTGAGTTTGAGGCCAGCCTGGGCTATGAGATCCTGTCTCAAATTATTTTAAATAAATAAATTTAATGTAACTAAATTAAAGAAATTGTTGACTGAAAACAGTCCATAAGCTTGTGAGTGGATAAACAAAATGTGGTACAACCATACAATGGAATATTAGTCAGCCAGTAAAAGAAATGAAGTACTGATACATGCTCCAGCATGGAGGAACCCTAAAAATACTGCAATAAATGTTGGAAGCCAGGCACAAAACATCTTATTTCTTGTAGTTCCATGTACATTAAATGGCTAAAATAGGCAAATTTTGCAAAGTGACTCAATGATTGCCTGAGGGGATAGGAGTAGCAACAGCTAAAGACTACAGAGTTCCTATGAGAGGTGATGAAATATTCTATGCTTGACTCTAGTGATGGCCAGGAGTGGTAGTGCACACCTTTAAGCCAGAGGCAGGCAAATCTCTGTAAGATAGAGGCCAGCCTGGTCTACATCAGGAGTTCAACGTTAGCCAGGGCTACAGGGACACCCTGTCTCAAAAAGATCCCCCCCCAAAAAAGCCAGTGAATTATACACTATAAAAAAATATCTCACCTTTGGTGCTATATTTAAGCTTCATAAAAATCAGGGCCAATGAGATGGTTCAGCTGCTAACGGTGCTTGCCGCCAAGCAAGCCTGATGACCTGAGTTCAAGCCCCAGAACCCACATGATGGAAAGAGAACAGACTCCCACAAGTTGTCCTCTGACCTCCATATGCACAAACATACACACATACCTGCATACACAATAAATAAATGTAAAACTATATTTAAAAGATTCATGAAAATCATCAATATCTTTAGATTGACTGCATAGAAAAATCAGTATCAGTCTTATTTCTATCAAATCTTAAAATACACTGAGCACAATGCTGCTTTTTATAAAAGCTTAATACACTGGGAGTGGTGGTGCATGCGTTTAATCCCAGCACTTAGAAGGTAGAGGCAGGTGGATCTCTGTGTGTTCAAAGCCAGCCTGGTCTACATAGTCAGTTCCAGGTCAGCCCCATTATAGGGAGACTGTCTCAAAAAGACCAAAAAATAAATAATAAATAAAGAGCTTAATACAATTATCATCAAGTCTTTTACAGTACATAATTTTCAATCATTTTTCACTAACCATTTTTTGTCATTTGAGGCAATTACATGAACAAAGTTTCAAAGAATTTGAAAACACCTGAAAGCAAACAATCACTAACAGCCATGAAGACTTTGTAAAGGAATATGGTGAAGAGCCACAGCATGCTCAGAAAGCAGGGAGGGGTGTTCACTTTTCAACTTCATCTTTTAATATCACACTTGCTAGAAGTCTTGTATTCCTCTCAAGCTTTATATTCACCCTTAAAGGGGAAAATGGTATTTTTGGTTTAACTTCCTTGAATTAGGAAGGCTATTTGGTGTGGGAAAGGTTGAGACAGGGTTAAAGTACTCAGAATGACCTTGATCCTACAGACATGTCCACCATACTCAACCTCTTTTGTTCTTTATGGTGTTGGGCTGGAAGCCAGAACCACATACATGTGAGGCTAGGGCTCTACCACTGAGCTATACCCTCTGTCCCATAAGGAAAATGACTTCGGATACCTGAGTTCCTCAGGCCCCTGAAACACTTTGCTGTTGCTCTTCACACTTTTTCTACTTGTTTCAAGGTCACAGGAAGGTAGGGCTGCTTCCTGTCCAGCCTCTGCTATAGCTGCAGAATCTGGCACAATATATATAGCACACAGCAGGCACTCATGATATGTTTTGTAAACTGAATTCAGGTTTTGTTAACATGAAGCTATTCTCACATAATAATCCATGAAACAAGGTCCATAGAAATAAGAATTAAGTCTGTGCAGATCATGAAGATAAGCAAATATCAGAGGGCAAGCCAGGTTCTTGTTCTCTCTCCCCATGCAGGGACTATTATACTGGAGGGACAGAAACTGAGATTTTTTTTTAATTATTTTATTTAGTATGTATGTGTGTGTTGTACGGCGATCAGGAGACAAATTGCAAGAGTCATGTGGCTTTCAGAGACTGAACTTAGGTTGCCAGGCTTGGCAGGAAGTGCCTTTACCCAGTGAGCCATGTTGTCAGCCCCTTAGACTTTTGAGACACACAACTACCCTCTTCCTCAAAAAGTTCATGAATAATGGGCCAAGGCCAGTCACACAAGAAACCATGAAACAGAAGCCAGGCAGCAAGGCATGCTGGCAAACTTCTAATCCAAGCACTTGGGAGGTGGAGGCAGGAGGATCAGGAGTTCAAGGCCAGCCTCAGCTATGTTCAGAGTCCCAGGCCAACCTGGGCTAATGAGAATGAGACCTGGCTCAAACAAAAACATGAATCTGAATCAGAGCAGAACCTCTGCAGGAAGAGAACCTTTGCAGAGACAGCCTGTTGTCATTTGATCTCTGGGGAACTGTTCAGTGATCTGTTTTGTGAATTACCAAGGCTCTCAGAAATGAACTTGGATGGCAAAAGAGAACTCTGAATGCCTTAAGTGACAGGTCAGCAAGAATAGGGGACCAGGTAAGAGGAAGAGTCTGAAGCCATGAAACTGCTGGAAAGGGTGGAACTGAGCATCCACTAACAAGGAGGACCCCAGCACAGCCACACAAACTATCCTCCAATGTCTTAACAAAATCAAACAACCAGGTAACTTACTCAGTATGGAATTTTCTGTTTTGAAAACAGTTCGTCTTAGGCCCAGTCTCATTGTTCCGCCCAAGTTGCCAGGACTGTATTCAGGCATGTCAATCACCTTTAAAAACAAAACAAGCCCAGTTTTATCATATTGTAAATATATAATTTCCCAATTATCCAGCTTTATTTTCTGAGGCATGCTCTTTCAGGTGATCATTCCCTCAAGGACCATGTCTGCTGAGTACTCCAAGGGTTCCTGATCAAAACCAGTCACCCACCACACATTGTATAAGCTTTTCACCACTGCTTCTCAATTTTCATTCAAATAACTTATAAAACAATGTACTGGGAACTGAGGATGTAGCTTGGTTGGTAGAGTGCTAGTGTAGCATGCATAAAAGTCCTGGGTTCAATCCCCAGCACTTCATGAACTGGGCGTGGTAGCATATGTCTGTAATCCTCCACTAAATAGGGAATTCAAGGTCCATCTGGGTTACATGAGACCCTGTCTCAAAAAAGTAATAAAATAAACAAATAAACAAATAAATAAGTAAAAGATCATAGGACTAGAGAAATGGCTCAGCAGTTAAGAGCATTTGCTGCTCTTGCAGAGGACCTGGGTTCAGATTTCAGCATCTTCATAGACCTAACATCTGTGTAACTCCAGTTCCAAGGGACCCAATGCCCTCTTTTAGCCTTTGTGGGCACTGCAAACACATGATACACTTACAGTAAACTTACATGCATGCAGGGGAAATATGCATATATAAGTAATACAGGGGGAAAAAAAGACTAGGACCTTCTATGACCATCTTCTACCACTACTCAAACCCTAAGTTCTATACCCTACACCTCAATTTCAGGCTTCTAAGGCTTTCTACTTAGTTATTCAAGTTTCTCCCAGAATAAACTTCTCCTCACTGCTCAATGTTGCATAAGTAAATCTGTCCATGTCAAAAGATATTCCAAAGTACCTACTTTATATAAAATCATTATATAATTATTATATAAAATACATTATCTCCATGCAGCTGGGGCTACAGGGAGACCCTGTCTCAAAAATACCTCCCCCCAAAAATCATTACATGAATTCCTTTAACAAAAAAACAAGCCAGGAACAGTTAACACACACCTGTAAACCCAGCAGGTGGAGGCAAGAGAATTGGCAAGAATTAAAGCCAGCCTGGGCTACACAGTGAGTTTGAGGCCAAACTGGGCTACACGATGAGAAGCTATCTTATAAAAAACGGGGGAGGCAGGGAGGCAGCAAGATGGGTTGATATGTAAAGACACTTGCTGCCAAGCCTGAGGCTCAGAGTTTGATCCCCAGAAGCCACATGGTAGCAGGAGAGAAACAACTCCAACAAATTTTCTTCTGACCTCTATATGCAGGCATGTGCATCCAACACATAATAAATGTAATCTGAAAAAAGATTGAGGGGGCTGGAGAGATGGCTCAGGGGTTCAGAGCACTGACTGCTCTTGCAAAGGACCCGGGTTCAAGTCCCAGCACCCACATGGCAGCTAACAGCCATACCCATAACTCCAGTTCCAGAGGATCCAATGCCCTCTTCTGACCTCTGCAAGCACTGCATGACACAGGTGCACTTACATACATGCAGGCAATACACTCATATACATAAAATAAAAATAATAAAATATTTTTTATTTTTATATAAAAAATAATAAAAAGATTCAGAAGAACAAGGACTGAGGGAATGGCTCAACTGGATTGTCAGCCTAGCATGCACAATGCCCTGGGTTTGATTCCCAGCACCACATAAACTAGACCTGGTGGTGAAGGTCTCTAATTCAGCACTAAGGAGTTAGAGGCAGGAGGATCAGAAGTTCAAGTTCATCCTTAGATATGTAGTGCGTTCCAATCCATACCATGAGTCTTGTCTCAAGAAAAGAAAGGGGGGGGCTGGAGAAAATAGTTCAGTTGGTAAAAGTGCCTGCCATGCAATCATGAGGACCTGAATTCAAATCCCCAATACCCATGTAAAAACCAGGTGTTGTAGCATGCATCTGTCACCCTAGCAAGCTCACTACCAACCAGTTTATCCAAATCAATGAGTTCCAGGTTCAGTAAGAGACCCTGACTCAAGAAATAAAGTGGAAAGTCATGGATGAAGATATCAGACATTAATCTCTGGTCTCCACACACTGCATGCACACATGCCACACCCACATGAACACATACATGCACCAAACACACGCCGATACACACACACACACGAAAACAATGTCCATGCTGACTTCTCTTTCTATCCGATTTGTCCAGTTGTATTAATTTACCCCTCCAGGCTATCTTGTCCTAAATGAAACCTTCCTGAACCCTGAGATCTCTACTCAGCTACCCACTATCAAGGAGCCATGGCCTAGTCAGTGCTTCTGTCTGTGGCCTATTGTCACCACTACTATCAGTTGGGTCCAGTTCCCAGCCTCTGTGACAGACTAGAATGCTGCTGCTTTTCCTTGCCATGTTGTTCCCAGCCCATGTCACACACTAAATATGAATGAACAAATGAACTAAGACAAAACAATTTCAGATTTTATCTTTCTGGTCACACCACAGAAACCCAGAAGACTTTCATGAAAAATCTGTTCTCATTAACCTAGTAATTCATCTTTTTTTCTCAGTTCTGCTCACTCTGTTTTGTTTTTGTTTCATGTTTTTTTTAAGTAATTGGAACAGAATGCAGTTGGGTAAGTCAACCTGTTCTAACAGAATTGCTCAGGTTTCTCACTCAAAAAGCTTCCCTAGCTACCCACCCCACCACCACCAGACACACACGCCCTAAATGCCACACACTGCTCTACAGGAATCCTTGACAACTACAGTTTCCTGAAGGAAGAATTTCTAAGAAAATGTCTGATGTTATCAGTGCCCCAGACAATGTTTCGAAACATAGGAACCCTGTGTCCCAGGGAAAAGCCAAGAACCACTGAGGGGAAGGGGTGGGAAAAAAACTGCATCACACCTCCCAGTGGATACAGTGGAAAATTCTCAATTGCTCTTGGCCATGTCTTCCCTATATTCTTTGGAGGGCTACTAAAGGCCAGATTAAGTACTACTGGAGTCAAGGGAGAAAGAGCAGCCTCCAGCTTATGAAGCCAAGCTATTTATAAGTGCCCAGCCCTTCTGTGCATATTCTACGAAAAGGCAGAGATAAGTCCACACCAGCTGCCACAAATGCATAAGAAGTTCTATGTGTATTCAAAGCCTCAACTTCCACTTAAGTTCTAATCAAGTTTAGACAACTGGAACGGTCTAGGCAGACCATGGCAACAAAGTCCCCGGTTTCTTTATATTATTTAGCTAGTTATTTTGGGGGGGGACAGGGTTTCACTAAGTAGCACTGGCTGGCCTGGAATTCATTATGCAGACTAGGCTAGCCTTGAATTTGCTATGTATACCAGGCTGGCCTCAAACTCAAGACATACACCTGCCTCTGCCTCCCAAGTGCTAGGGTTAAAGATGTGTGCCACTATGCCTGGATCCCTGGTTTCTTGTAGGAACTGCTCAAGCCTGGCACTATCAGTTGTCCTTAGACAAGACAAGCTCTAAAGATGGTAGCTGGTACTGGGGATGTAGCTCAGTTGGAAGAGTACTTGCCAAGCTGGGCATGGTGGCGCACACCTTTAGTCCCAGCACTCAGGAGGCAGATGCTGGCAGATCTCTGTGAGTTCGAGGCCAGCCTGGTCTACATAGTGAGTCAGGCCAGCTAGTACTTGCCAAGCTGGGCATGGTGGCGCACACCTTTAGTCCCAGCACTCAGGAGGCAGATGCTGGCAGATCTCTGTGAGTTCAAGGCCAGCCTGGTCTACATAGTGAGTTCCAGGCCAGCTGGGGCTACAGGGAGACCCTGTCTCAAAAAGATTAAAAAAAAAAAAAGAAGAGTACTTGTCAAGCCTGGGTTTGAGCCTTACCACCACATAAAATGAGGAGTGGTTATGCTACATGCAAGTTCAAGGTCTGGGCTACATGAGACCTGGTCTCAAAACAGAAAAAAGGAAAAAAAAAAGATGGTGGGTGACGGTGATAGCCTCTCAAGTTGTATAAGTAACCTGATTAAGGCAACAAATAGAAAATAGAACCAAGGAGCCTAAGAGACAGGAGAGCAACCTGGTTTAAACACATGCCTATTTTATCACAGTCAGACAGTCAGAGATCCTCAAGTACCTTTATATTTATTCTCAACATTTCCAAAATACTACCAACTCTGCATCTGAAAGGAAAATGCTTCTTCCACTGCAAAACTATTTCCATGGCTCATCTAATTTGACTAAAATCTTGGCTGTGGTCTGATCTCCACACCCTGTCCTCTCTTGGAATTGAGCCATAGAGCATAAGAAAAGTAAAAAGGATCAATAAGTTATAAAGCTTTGAGAGATGTAAAAGCACCGCACAAGGAAAACCATGGTACTAATTAGCCCTGACCTTTTTCTGTAACCGAGATACAAGCGTAATGGGTTCAAGACCTTCAGCATCCCAGGGTCCCTTAAACCACCAAGTATAAAGAAGTCAGATTCTCTTATCAATGATGAAATTCCTTCATGGCAGTGTCCAACTAACCCTAACTCCTGGAAGCAGCTTCTTGTCTTTAAATATTTCACCTAGAAAAACAGGAATGCCTACTGCCAACAGACCATTCCCAGTCTTTTCTCTTTTTTTCTTTTTAAATAACATTTATTTATTTTGTGTGAGAGAGAGAGTGTGTATGCGTGTGGGTGCTCATGTGCCATGGCATGCATGTGGAGGTCACAGACAACTTACGGGAGTCAGTTCTATCTTTCCACCATGTAGGTACCAGGACTGAACTCAAGTCATCAGCCTCAATGGAAAGCACCTTTACCCACTAGTCCATCTTGCTGGCCCCCCAAATATTTTCCTTTTTACAGTACTGGAGAGTAAACCTAGGACCTCACACATGGTAGACAAATGCTCTACCTCTCCCCAGCCCCATTTCTAGTGATTCACACAGACTTTCTAGTGTGTTCCTCAAATATTCTTTACAAACATTCCCCAATCTATTCCTTCCCATTTGTTAGGTTTTTCTGTTTTGTTTTTTCCCAAAGCCTTACTATGATTTGTATTCTTTATGACTCATGTAGTAGATGTACATATAGTATGAACCACTTTTACATTAAAAGTATGTTACCTAATGATGTGTTTTGTTACTTCCTCCAGCAGTCTCTGTCACTTCAAATCAAATTGGAGCTCTCCTGGGTGGCCTTCGGGTCTTACCTCATGTATGACCCTAGTCTAGCTGGATTCTCCTCATGGATTCAAACCTGTACTTTCTACCTCAGCCACACAGTTTCAATGCTAATGGTTCTTCCCCTCCCCTACCACCATACCATCCCACACAGACTGCCTCTTCACTACTTTTCTGAAGAGCTCCAGTTGGCCTCAAACTCCCTAAATGTAGCTAAGGAGAATCTTAACTTCTGATCCCTCTGCCTCCACTTCCTGAGTGCTGGGATTACAGGTGTGCATCACCATGCCTTGTTTATGTGGTGCTAAGGATGGAACCCAGGGCTTCATGGAGGCTAAGTAAGCACTCTACCAACTGAGCTACATCCCCAGTCCAAAGAATGTTTTTTTCAGGCACTCCACACTATTGACTTTGAGCAGAATAGCATGACCACAGAAGCCTGTGGGGCCAAGAGGCCTTGGTTTTCAGGGGGCGGGGATAAGTGTGTTCAAAGATCAAGCAATTCAACAGTGAGGTGCTAAATAACCTTTGCCTCCCCATTTTTCCATTACGAATCTTGTACCTTCATTCTTCCTTCTCTCATTTCAAAATGTACTCTTGTGAACGTGAACACACCCTGCATTTATCACATGTCTCCATTCATTTGTAGTTAATGTTTCATGAGAATGTCCCCTAGTGGATTTTGTGTTTCTGACTGCTGGGTTACCCTCATGCTTGTAAGTCTAAGGATAAAGAGAAAAATAAGGCACAAGTGATGTCACCGGAGGAGATGAGCAAGCAAAAGTCAGAGAAGAAACATGGGTTATTTTTCAAGTTCTGTTAGCATCTGTTAAGAGCCAATGTTCTGACAGGCAGCACTGGACCCATTTTAATCAGAGGTCTTCCCTTGAAACGAGAGATTTGTAGCCTAAATGACTCTTAGCTGATACTGCCCCAACAGTGATTCTTAGGGCTAGACAGATGGCACAGCAGTTAAGAGCACTGACTGCTCTTGCAGAGGACCCGTGTTTGAGCACCCACATGGCAGCTAACAACTGTCCATAACTCCAGTTCCAGGGAAACCAACACCTTCTTCTGACCTCCACAGGCATTGCACTACACAGATGCACTTACATACATGCAGGTACTACACTCATACACACAAAATAAAAATAATAAAATATTCTTAAAAGGTATGTGTTATATATTTTTATATATATATACATCATATATGCCATATGATCTGAATTACATATGCTATATAGAATATGCTGTCTGACATATAACATATTCATATTAGGAATATATGTAGTGATCAAAATCATCTTTTCCACAGACACAAAAATAGAACAGCCAGCCCCATCAGTTTTAGCTCAAAAGTGATTATTTGAGTTTTCAAATAAATATGGGCTGTGGTAACACAATTGTGATTATGTAGAAAAACATCCTGTCTGTAGGAGATATAGGCTGAGGCCAGTGAAAGTCCACAACCTATTCTCAAAAGGTTGATGGGGAGGAAAGTACTAATCCAGAGACTGAGAAGCAAACATGGAAAAGTCAACAACCACTGAATCTACTGAAAGGGTACACTGTTGTCCAGCATACTGCTCTTGTCACTTTAACTATAAATTTGAAATATTTTTAAAAGATATTGGATCCAGGCATGATGGTTCACATCTGTAGTCCCCACAATCAGGAGGGCTAAAATAGGATTACAATCAGGCTAGCTTCGGCTATACTGGGAGTTGGACTAAGCAAAGAGACCCCATCTCAAAAACCAACAAAAACAGAAAAAGCTGTTGTGGGGTCCAGAGAAATGGCTTAGCAGTTAAGAGCACTGGCTGCTCTTGCAGAGGACCTAGGTTTGGTTCCCAGTACCCACATGGCAGCTAACAACCCTTTATAACTCCAGTTCCAGAGGATCTGGCACTCTCTTCTGCCCTCCAGGGGCACTGCAGGATATCCACATGCATACATGCAGGCAAAACACTCATACACATAATTGATAAATAAATAAATAATAAATAAATAAATAATAAATAAAGTTTTAAATTCTGTTGGGCTGCCAGGCATGGTGGTGTAAGTCTTTATTTAATCCTAGCCCTCAGGAGGCAGAGGGATCTCAGATAGAGGCCACCCTGGTCTACATAGTTCCAGGCCAGCTTGGGCTATGGGGAGACCCTGTCTCAAAAAACAACAACAAAGCTATTGGGAGAAGAAAAAAAGTTCTTATTATAACTAATCACCAAAGTCCACTTCTGCCCAGGAAACTAGAACCTCTATCTAAAATACACTGGAAATTTTCTAAAATCTTAATTAAAAAACACTGCTAAAATCAGAGTATTTTTTCTATAAAATCTTCAACCAAAAATATCAGCTAGGCATGGTAGCATATACTTGTAATTCCAGAACTGGGGAGTTGAACACAGGAGAATCAGGAGTTCAAGGTCATCCTTGGCTACATAGTGAGTTTAAGGCCAGGCTGGGCTACGTGAGACCCTCTCTCAAATAAGAAAATAATAAATAAACAAACGAATGAATGGATGAATAAATAAATAAATAAATAAATAAAAGAGTAGCATCAGGGAGATGGCTCAGTGGGTAAAGGTACTTGTTGCCAAACTTGATGACCTGAATTCGATCACTAGGAGGCACATGGTAGAAGGAGAGAACCAACTCCCATAAGTTGTCTTCTGAACATTCCACTTGCATGAAGACACACACACACACACACACACACACACACGCACACACTAAATATAAGTAATTTAAAAATGTTTCAGAGATAATAATAAGTAAGTAAATACAGGTCTGGAGAGACAGCTAATTAGGTAAGAGCACTTGCTGCACAAGCGTGAGGACCTGAGTTTGGATCCCAGCACTCACATAAAAGACTAGGCACGGCTACAGCCGGTGACTCAGGCATTGCGTGGGACCAGAACACAGGAGGTTTGCTGGAGCTTGCTGGCCACCAGCCTAGCTCCAGGTGCAGTAAGAGACCCTGTCTCAAGGGAATAAGGTTGAAGAGTGATAGAGCAGGACACCCAATATCCTACATTCCTGCACGCACATGTGTACATACATGCATACACCAAACACACACACTAAATAAATAAAAAGATAAATAAATAAACCTGAAATACCAGTAACTCCAACTAGCGGGTTAATATAGTCTAAACCAGTATCAAACTATAATAAAAACAGCAAAAACCTATGGAATAATAAATATACTCTATTGACGCAAAGCTTTTAAGCAACACATTTCACATTTGTTCTTTAATGTAAATAAGACCCTAGAATTTCAAAGTACAGTCCAATATATCAAGCCTGAATTTGCAGGTAATATATAGTAGGTCAGAGAAAATGGTAAGTGTTGAAGTATCCAAGTGTTTTAAAGCTGCTGAAGGGCTTTTAAAGCTGATCTGGAACCCCTTCCTGTGAGTTACAATCAGCATTAATGTCCCCTGGAAATGTCCTAGATTTTATGGACAGAACTCTTTCTAGAAGAAATTAATTTTGTCTGTCACTTCAAATCCTTACAGTTCCAAAATGTCTGAAGTAGTTCTAATTCTCTAAGAGCGCTTTCACAGGTTTTAGAATGATTTAATAAAACACATTTGTTATAAATATGAGAAATATAGCCTAGCATGCCAGCACACGCTTTAATCCCAGCACTCAAAAGGCAAAGGGGCAGGCAAAACTAGCCTGTTCTACATAGTGAGTTCTAGGTGTGCCAGGGCTACACAGTGAGACCTTGTGTCAAAAAGAAAGGGGAAGAGAAATGAGAAATAAAAAGCAAACATGGAAACAAAAATGAAAATGGCCATGTTACTCAGTAATCTCATTTTGCCAAAGAAAATGAGAAAGCAGCATGTAGTTTCCCATTTCTTAAACCTGCTTCTGAAGCAATGGCTCCCCTCATTCATGTATTCAAATACTTAAGTGCCTAGAATGTACAAGCCATCAGTAGGACTTCAAGGGTCATTCTGGTTTTTGTTTGTTTGTTTTGGCCTTTTTGAGGGTCCCCCTATAGCTCCAGCTGGCCTGGAACGCACTATGTAGACCAGGCTGGCCTTGAACTCACAAAGATCTGCCTGCCTCTACCTCCCGAGTGCTGGGATTAAAGGCGTGCCCTACCACGTGGTAATCTATCTTTTAAAGTCATGTAATACTGTCCGTGACAGCATTTTTTTCAGGGTAGGAAGAAAGTTCTTTTTTTCAAGCCTAAATCTGAAGTTCCATTAAAAACAGTCCTTAATGTTTAAACTTCTCAGAAATGAGAGCTGTGAGCAAAAATTAAAATTCCATATTGGAGGGAAAATTAATGGGGGGGGAATCCAGATTTTACTCTTGGGAATCTGAACCATTAAGTAAAGGTTGAGATGGCTCTTTATTGGAGCTTAATTAAAAGAGTCTTAAGCTTGGATTTCAAAAATCATTAATAATTACCCTTAAATGGTAAACAAAGGGAAATTTCATAATCAGGGCGGTGTGTCTGTAAGACTATAAAAGAGCTACTCCTGAGCTCTTCAATCACTCGTCGCCTGAGTGACTCTTCCAGCACCTGTACCGTCGGGTGAACAGGTCAGTATGATCTCAGCATGCGCCACACCAGTTTATGGGATGCTGGGGTGGGAACTCAGAGCTTCCTGCATGCTAGGCAAACACTCTACTAACTGAGCTACATTCCCCAGTCCACTAAGATTGTTTAAAATACACTGGTAACTACTAATGCTGTTCCCACTTACCTCTCTTCTTCTCTCCCTTTTCCTTATTCTCCCTCATCTTTATCAGGAAAAAGGGGAAAAGGCAATGAAACCCTGTTGAAAACACTCTAACCTTTTGGTAAATCTGCCTTCTTCCCAATTACAGGACAGCAAAATGTGTGCTAAGAAGTCTCCTGAAGAACTAAAGAGCATTTTTCAAAAATATGCAGCCAAAGAAGGCGATCCAAACCAGTTGTCAAAGGAAGAGCTGAAGCAGCTGATTCAGGCGGAATTTCCCAGTCTACTGAAGGTGAGCACACACCTGAGCAGCCAGTGGCAGCTGCCTCCAGTGCTCAGATGGAAGGGGGAGGGAGAGAAGCCTGGCTGAGGGCTGCCTCTGAGATACTAACCAGAGCCCTGTGGAGACATGGCCACATGGAACCCAGAGCCTGGCCAACTAAGCAGGCACTGTACCATTGAGCTACATCCCCAATCCACAGGACTTGTGGGGTTTTGTTCGTTTGCTTGATTGATTTTCTGGAGTCAAGGTCTCCCTATAGCCCCCAACTGGCCTAGACCTCGCTATGTAGTAAACCGGTGCTGAGATTAAAGGGGTGTGGCACCACACAACAGGAGTTGTGCTTTTAATATGAAAAAAAGAAAATCTGACTACAATAACATTATAACCTGTTATTTCATTATTTTCTTGCAACTGAAATTAATTGTGTGTATGTTGCTGGGAGATGAACCCAAGGCCTCATACATGTATGTAGATATTTGCTGCACAGCAAAATGAAAATGCTTAACACTACTGAACTGTCCACTTAAAATGGTTGGAGCTGCTCCTGCATAAGACTCAGGTTTGGTTCCCAGCACCTACATGGCAGCTGTAACTCTAGTTCTAGGGGATCTAACGCCCTCTTCTGGCCTCCATGAACACCAGGCACACAGGGTACACATAAACTCATCCAGACACACACATATATAAATTTTAAGAAGGGTTAGATGAAAAATTAAATGTTAGAATTTTACTATTGTTGTTTTTGAGATAGGGTGTATGTAGCACAGGCTAGCCTTGAATTCCCTATGTAGTCCAAGCTAGCCTTAAGCTCAGTGCAGGCCTTTTGCTCCCAGCTTTGTTAGTGGCTAGAAATACAGGCTTGAGCCACCAGGTACAGTTTGAAGAATGTTTTAGAAGCATAAAGAGGTTCAGAGCTCATAAGATATGTCAAAATACAGATGACTATTAAATCACAATAAGAGTGTTAGCAGTGTTTTAGAAAGAGAGAGAGAGTGAGAGAGAGAGAGAGAGAGAGAGCGCTAGCTGGGTATAGTAATACATGCATTTAATCCCAGGACTTAGGAGGAAGAGACAAGTGGATATTTGAGTTCGAGGCCAGCCTGGCCTACATAGTAAGCTCCAGACCAGCCAGGGCTATATAGTAAGACCTTGTCTCAAAAATAAATATTTTAAAAAGGAAAAAAGAAAGAACCCTATTCTGTGACATGAAGCAGTATCACAGCTAAAGCTGGTTTCTATATACCATCATATCATCAGTGGGAGGTGACTGAAAACCCGGGCTGCCTTCTTGGGAGATCCTGTGTCTCTAATTTCAGAGATATGCTGCAACATCTGATTTCAACTTCTCTCCCTTCCCCTATCCCATTCCTTTTGTCTAAAACCAGGGTTCAAACACTCTAGACCACCTCTTTGCAGAACTGGACAAGAATGGCGACGGTGAAGTCAGTTTTGAAGAATTCCAAGTGCTGGTCAATAAGATAGCAAAATGAGGGCACTGGGAATGAGGAATGCCCCGTACCAACTGACTCCTCTGCAATCATAATGATCAGCCTGCGAGATCGAAATGCTGTTAATAAAGCCAATCTGAGGCATATCTCACTTGTCGAGTACTGACTCTGTCTAATAACTTAGAAAAATTCAGAGTAACCTTAGCCTGATCCATCTACTTTCTCATTTGGGGGGAGTTTTTGGTTTTGGTTTTAGGTTTTTTTTTGGGGGGGGGGATCCTCACTATGCAGCCTGGCTGGTCTGGAACTCACTATGTAGAACAGGCTGACATTGAACTCACAGAGTTCACCTGCCTATGTCTGGGATTAAAGGTGTATACCACCAGGCCTGGTAATCATTTCTTTAAACAAGGTCTTATGTAAAGGCAGGGTTCAAACTCCCTATGTAGCCAAGGCTAGCCTTGAACTACTGATCCTCCTGCTGCCACCTCTCAAGTGCTGCCTCTGGCATGCTCCACCACACCCACACCACTACTTTCTTTTAAAAAAATTTTAGTTACTTATCTACTGTGTGTGTGCACACGTGCACGCGTGCGTGCGTTGCACGCACACAAGTGTAGCACAGTGGGGGTGAGAGGATCAGAGGACAACTTGGGAAGTTGCTCCTCTCCTACCATGCGGGTCCCAGGGATCAAATTCAGATTGTCTGCCTTAGCAGCAAGCACCTTTTACCCACTGAACCAACTCACTGGTCCCTGATTCACCTACTTTCAAGATGGACCCTGTCAAAAAAAAAAAAAAAAAAAAAAAAACATGGTCAGACCCTATTTAAATTCAGTAGGATATACACGCAAAAAGACATGAAAGTAGAAGGGGATTTCTGGGGAAAGAGTTTCAGTGGGACAAGGAAGAGGGGCTGAGACAGGGTAATGGGAATGAAAGGACTAAAACATACATGCAGGAAAATATCAAAGAATAAAAGTTTTATTAAGAGCTGGAGAGATGGCTCAGCAGTTAAGAGCACTGACTGCTCTTGCAGAGAGCCCAGATTCGATTCCCAGCACCCACATGGCAGCTAACCACCATGCATTTAACTCCACTTCCAGGAGATCTCACACCTTCTTCTGAACTTCTTGGGCATTGTACAACATGGGTACACTTACACACATGCAGGCAATACACTCATACACATAAAATAAAAAATAATAGTAATAATAATCAATAACCCTAGAATGAGAACTATTGGAGACTGATTACTGCTGGGTGAGAGAGGGTATGCCTTACTTATGATCTCTAGATGGGATGACTAGACTCCAGTGGATGAATTATGGTGGACTACATGAGGTCCAGTGGGGGGTTGGGGGGACATGGATGGGGGAGGGGGGGTCTAAATTTGGTTAAGAACCATTTTATGAAATGTACAAAAGCTCAAAAAAATTTTAAAAATAATAATATTTTTGTTAAGTTTATTAAAAATATTTTTAAGTAAAATGTAAAAATATACATTTCAAGGTATGGCAGTTCATGCCTGTAATCCTAGTACTTGAGAACTGGAAGCAATAGGGCTGAGTTCAAGTGACGTAAAAAGTTCCAGGCCAGCCTGGGCTATATGAAACCCTGTCTCATAAAAAGATTCCAAAATATGAGTCTGGACACATACACGCAGCACTAATTGGACAAAGTGAGTTATATAGATGTAAAAGAAAAGGACATGAAAGTGGGAGAGGGATGTGTCGGGGAGGAGATAAGATCAAAACACAAAGAATTAATTTTTGCTGGGCGTGGAGGTACATGCCTTTAATCCCAGCAGAGCCAGGTGGATCTCTGAGTTCAAGGCCAGCCTGGTCTACATAGTGAGTTCCAGGCCAGTTGGGGCTACAGGGAGACCCTGTCACAAAAAGACCAAAAACAAAAAAACAGAATTTTTAAAACATTTTCTAAAAATTGGGGGTTGGAGACATGGCTCAGCAGTTAAGAGCACTGGGTACTCTTGCAGAGGACCCAGGTTCGATTTCTAGCACCCACATGGCAGCTAACAGCCATCTGTAACTACAGTTCCAGGGGATCCAACACCCTTTTCTGACCTCTGTGGGCATTGCACTGCACGGGTGCACTTACATACACTCATACACATAAAATAAAATAAAAAAATATAAAAATAAATAAATAAAGCTGGGCATGGTGGAGCACACCTTTAATCCCAGAGGCAGAGGCAGGTAGATCACTGTGAGTTTGAGACAAGCCCAGTCTACATAGCGAGTTCCAGGTCAGTTGTGGCTACAGGAAACCCTGTCTCAAAAAGACCCAAATAAATAAATAAAAATTAAATAAATAAAATTTTTAAAAAAACAAAACATTGCTCTACACATAAATATAAATAGGAAAAAGTGGAGCTGAGGACATTACATACTATTAGAGAATCTTAGCCTAGCATCCACAAGCCCTGAGTTCTATTACCAGCACCAACAAAAAACAAACAAAAAAATAGCACGTGTGGTGACACACACTTTTATCAAAGCACTTGGAAGGCAGAGACAAGTAGATATCTGTGAGTTTGGGGCCAGTCTGGTCTACCATAGCAAGTTCCAGGCCAGTCAGGACCACATAGCGGAACTCTTGTCTTAAATAAATAGCTCAGTGTGGTGGTGCATGCCTTTAATCCCAGCACTTGGGAAGCAGAGGCAGGCAGATCTCTGTGAGTTTG